GATTCAGGGGATTATTTTGTTTTGGTGGTTGTCTTGGAAAAATGGTTTATAAACTGATTTTTGTAGTTTTGATATTTAAAGCAAAAAAACAAACCCAAACCTTTGGGCAACTGTGCACCGTCTCCTTTAGCCAGGGCCGTGCTGCCTTAATGAAGACATTGCAGCTTGAGAGGGGCTTTGCTGGGGGCTTCCCCTTAGCCATGTAAAAGCCCACTTTGTTGCCTGCTTTGTGCTTTCTGCACCAGACAACCTGATGGAATGTTTGCACCTGAGTTGTACATTTTTGAAGTGTGTAGGGCAGCCTGGACACAGCTTAGATTGTCTGTGTATAGTTCCCCAGGTTCACTAACATGCCCTCTCTGGAAAGCATATGTACATAACATGTGTTGTGTCCTTTGAAACCTGGTCACCTGGTGGGAACCCTAGGGATTCTTCCCTGGGCATGACTGATGACAATTTCTATTTCATCAGTTTGTTTCATTTTCCTTTTTCTTTAAAGCTTGGACTTTAAACCCTACCTGTGATTCAGTGGGGTTTGAGACTTACATGTGACACCAACAGGTAAAAATAGTGCTGGCATTCTAGTTTGCTGCTGCCATTTTTTAAAAAAAGTTTATTCTGATTGCTGTATGATATTGGGAAAGTTTTAAACAACCAAGCTAAAGCTATGTGAAAGTTGAGCTCAAAGTGCAGAGGAAAAGTTACTGGAAAGTGGTAGTGTCTTGCTGCCTGCTCTTTTGGTAGAATTCTGTGCTCCCTACAACACTTACTGCATTAGGAAGGATTGCATGGTTCCTTGTGTGCGAAGCAGGCACTGCTGACTCTGTGAGTGTGAGACACGTGCTTTGAACTGCTTTTCTGTTAAAGGGGCACACCCTAGGTCCAGCAGTCCTCCTTACGACCAACAGCACATTTGTAAAGAGGGTTGCAGGGATAAGGACTGTACATCATAGCTATGGAAACATAACATTCTCCTCTATTGGAAGCTAATTAGCCCACAGAGGTGGTGAACCTATAGCTTGGGCCCTAATTAGCATTGTATTCTAATCAAAGGACTCTTTCTAAACCATATTTATAGCTTTCTAACCTACACATAATCTATACATAGATGCATATTTTGCCCCTAGCTGGCTAGAGATTTATTTGTTGTAAATGCTGTATAGATTTTTTTCTTCCTTTACTTATCCTGATTTGGGATTTTTTGGGGGGGATGGATTTATGCTGTCTTAGCAAGTATGGAAATAACCCTCTGAAGCCTGATCTTACCTCTCCCCTGCTGAATCTACGTGGCCTGTGCTGTCACGGGACATAGGACAGAGGCATCATCGTTGCATTTGCATTGGATTCATGTACCTCCCAGGTGGATTTTGTTCTTTGGGGGGGGCTAGGGGGTTGTTTGTTTTTTTGTTTGCTTCTTTTCCAGAGTCTACAGTGCAGAAAGGCTTTAATCTGCCAGTTGATTTGAAATATTTACCCCTGCGCAGGGCCGTGTACATCCTGCCATGCTGCGTTATATTCTCTACTGTGTACAATAAAGAAGTCTGTTTTTCGTTAAAAAAAAAAAGAAAAGAAAAGAAAAGTGAGTTTCAGGAGAAGCACAGCCTATCACACAGCAGGCTCCTGCCCCCTCGCCTCTCTTCCTTCTCTTCTCCTGCCTGGTTCTCATCCTTTCAACATCTTTCCTTTCCTCACCTCCTCTTTATTGTTTCTCTCTATCCCCAATACTAAACAATATTTTTATTGGATGCATTTAGTTTTTACATTTCTTTATAATTTTTAAATTGAAAATACATTCTTAGCTGGGTTCGGTGGCTCAGCCTGTAATCCCGCGCCTTTGGGAGGCTGAGGTGAGTGGATTGCCTGAGCCCGCGGGTTCGAGACCCGCCTGGGCTGCAAGACCTCATCTCTACAATAAATCAAAAAATCAGCTGGGCGTGGTAGCACATGCCTGTAATTCTGGCTACTTGGAAGGCTGAGGCAGAAGGATCGCCGGAGCCCAGCAGGTCGAGGCTGCGGTGGCTGGAAGCGGCCACTGCACTCCAGTCTGGGCTACAGAGTGAGACTCCAACTCAAAAAAAAAAAAAAAGAAAATACATTCTTGACTTCCCTTTCCCTCCCCCTTCCCCCCTCTTTGCAGTCAGTCAGTCCTCTCTGTCCTTTTGCCCCAGTGCCCCTCCCATCCTTCCACTGGGGTGAGCCAATGGTGCAGAGGCTCCTCTGGGCTCCCTCAGTTCAAGGGTCAGCAGATCCACACCCCCTCACTGTCCTGGGGACAAGAAGACTTACAAATATCCATCTGTCTGACTTTTCTCAAAGAATCAGTTGGAAGTTCATCCTACTTTATTTTTCTTTCTGGGTCTCAATCTTCCAGGGGCTTTAAAAGAAGAAAATCCTGAACTTGGAGTCTGTTGAAGGCAATTTCAACAAAGGTATATTCTTTTTTCTTAAATTAAGCAATCATCTTATAAGAGGAATATAAGTTTGTAATCTATTTTAGCAGCTCAAATAGAATATATAAGGAGAATGTACACAACAGTTGGGAAATATAAATGCTGGAAATTTCACCCTGTTAGGCAAAAACAAGGCTGTAAAAATTTTGAGGTTTCCACATTTCATGGGCAGGTTTAATTTAACCTTTGACTTTGCAAAATACAGGTGGTTAATATAATGCTCAGCCGTAGTCCCTCTTGTCAGAGGGTACCCTGCCTATCAGATGCAGAAACTAGAAAGAGAGGGAACTGGGTGTCGGGTGGGCCCTGTGGCGGCTTGACCTTTCAGGAGGCTGAGATCTGCTGACCCACTGGGCTCCTTCAGACTTGGTCCAGTATCAGCTCACTTCTCAAGAATGTGGCTTTTGTGTCTGACTTCTGTCTCAGACCCCCTTGATGGGCTGCTGCCTGTGACTGAGATTGGTCCAGTCTGGTGCTCGTTGAAAAGAATCGCAGAGCAAGAGACTGAGACATGGACGAGGTGTGCCATGGGCCACTGCCCCCGGCTGCTGTTGCTCCTACTTCTTCTGTTTGCCAGGGGCAGCCACAAGCCACTTGGAGAATCTGGGACCTGTTCCACATTCTAATACTGAAAATAGTAATATGATGGATGTGTCTTGCCCTTTAACTGATGCTAGTATAAGGTCAAAGATACAGAGTCAGGAATCAAGTGCCTCCCTATGAGATAAACTAAAATATTCTTATCTTGAATGAAACCAAATTCAAAAAAGCAAACACAAGTGTTTTTTTTAACCACTTATTTTCTAAGGTTTTAAACATTCTTTAGCTTTCTTTCTCCTACTAAGTTCCAGTGACCCAAAGATAAAATGCGTTCATTAGCCTCAAGGCTTGGAAAAAAAACAGGTTTTCTTTTTAAAGGAAAGCTATACATGTTTAAAAAATCTTATTATTATTATTTTTTGAGTTGGCGTCTCACTCTTGTCGCCCAGGCTGGAGTGCAGTGGCACACTCATGGCCACTACAGCCTCGACCTGCTGGGCTTAGGCGATCCTTCCACCTCAGCCTTCCAAGTAGTTGGAACTACAGACGCATGCCACCACGCCTGGCTAGGTTTTGTGATTTATTGTAGAGACAAGGTCTCACCAAGTTGCTCAGGCTGGTCTTGAAACCCCAGGCTCAGGCAGTCCTCTCGCCTCAGCCTCCCGAAGTGCTGGGATTACAGGCCAAGTCACTGCGCCTGGCCAAAAATATCTTATTTTCAATCAGAACAAAAAACATAAAATTGTAATTAATTTGAAGACAATAATATTTTTTACTTTCACAGTAAAAATGATCGGTTTTATTAGTTATTGCTGTGTAGTAGTTAACAATTGCCATCCCAAAATATGCTGCTCTGGCATTTTGGCTGTTTTAAATTAAAGGCACTTTAAAAAACAGTAGGTGCAAAATAGATCACTTTGACCTTTATCAAGTAAAGTATGTCCCCCTGTAAAATAACGTTCTTATCAAAGAGGAAAAATTGAAACTAAGGGAAATCTATACAAACAGCATGAAGGTAAGCCTTATCTTTCTACTCACTTCTCTGCCCAGTTAAACCACCTGGTTCAAGCAAACCTGTGGCCTTGTCACATTTCACGACTTAGGACTTCTTGTTTGATTCACTAAGTAACTGACCTTAACTGTTTCTGTGGGTTTTTATTTCCTTAATGAGGCTCCTGTGCCAGTAAAACTTGTGTTAGATCAATCTGTGTGCCTTCTTCCTAATGATCTGTCTTTTGTCAGTTTAATTCTCTGACCCAGCAGGGAGATGGAGGTGCCTCCCCACCGCTGGCTGCATACATAAATTATTCTAAGACTTAATGACTGGAAACAAGAAACTATTATATCACATTTTCTTTGGGTCAAGAACCCCGGAGTGGCTCACTTGGGTGGTTCTGGCTTGGATTTTCTCATGGACTTGGCCAGGGCTGTGTCGTCTCAAGGCAAGGCGCACTGCAGGCTTTGGCAGGCCTGGTAAGATCCACTTCCAAGATAATCACGTGGACCTCTGCACAGGGCCACCTCTAAACGAGGTTGATGGTTTTTCCCAGAGATGGACACAGAAAATGACAGACAGAAACAGAGAGACAGGGAGAAAGGGAAAGAAGGAGAGAGGAGAGACACAGATAAGCAGAGCCAGAGCCAGAGAAGCCAAGATAGAAGCTAAGGTCTTTGCTGGAGCTATTCAGAAGTGATACCTATCCCTTCTGAGTAAGTCGTTCAACTATACTCCACAGTGGGCAATACTCATGGTGTGGTTCCCAGGAAGGGTCAACTTGGAACTGCTACCCCTGCCAGTAAAAGGGCAGAAATAAAGTCCCAGGTATGATAGGGAAATAGGCCTGACAGAGACATTGGCTCATTAAGAGCGCTGGGTCTGTTGGCTTTCAAGTTTTATTGGAATTTACCAGCCTTGTTGCAATTGAGAAAATTTGTGAGTAGCAGAAGAGCATATGGGCTGCTCTTAAAGACACCTCCCCAACTGCAGGTGTCGCATTTGTCTCCCTGCAGGTCATGAGTGATATGGAAATGCCTGGGGTTTTGGTGTCTGCGTTTGAAGGACCACATGGCATCTGTGAGGATCATGTTGGAGATCTGCAGAAGCACTTTAATCTCATTACCATGAAAGAATTTCTGGAAAATAAAACACAGTTCAATCGAAAGATCCAAGCCATATACATATGGGGTGGAAAACCAGATATTAACCGGGAGCTCCTGCTGAGCCTGCCCTCACTGAAGATTGTGGCCAGCGCAGGGGTGGGTGTGGACCACCTGGACCTGCCACTCATCGCCAGCTTTGGCGTGAAGGTAGCCAACACTCCACACGCTGTGTCAAGTCCCACCGCAGATCTGGGGATGGCCTTGCTGCTGGTCTCAGCTCGCAGAGTCCTGGAAGGTAAATGCTCATCAGAGACACTGGTTTTCCAATCAGATGACAAATGTTAGCTGGCACAGTGGTTACACCTGTAATTCTAGCACTTTGGGAGGCAGAGGCAGGAGGATTACTTGAGTCCAGGAGTTCAAAACCAGCCTGGGCAACATAGCCAGACCTCGTCTCTATCAAAAAAAAGAAATAAATAAAACTAACTGGGCATGGTGGTGCTCACCTGTAGTTCCAACTATGCAGGAGGTTGAGGCAGAAGATTTGTCTGAGCCCAAGGGATGGAGGCTGCAATGAGCCATGATCAAGCCATTGCACTCCAACCTGGGCAACAGAGTGAGACTCTGTTTCAAAACAAACAAACAAAAAAACCCCCCAAAACCAAATGTATGTTAAAATAATTTAAAATATGCAAATAGGTCTCTTTAAACTACATGTCTCTTACTGGTCCCAATTTCTTCACACTACATCTGGGCCTTATTTCACTGAAGACTGGAGTCACTTCACCCAACCCAGAGCAGATGGAGTCCAGTGATGTCTGGTAGTATCTGTTTTCTCCCCCACCAAATGCAAAATGTGTGTGAAGTGATATTTCAGAACAATTATGGAAATACCCTGGGCCACTCATCTGGCAGGTCAGCATGTACCCTGGAGTCATGGCCTACAGGTGAGTAGGGAGAATCTACTAGATCTCTGGGAACCCCCCAAAAAGATCATGCAGCAATTCAAGATGCCCATCCTCCCCAAAGGGGCACTGGTATGAGGCAGAGCATCAGTGTGAGATGGAGTGTTGGTGCGAGGTAGAGCTTGGGTGTGGAGCATTGATGTGAGGTGGAGTATCAGTATTAGGTGGGGCATTGGTGTAAGGTGGAGTGTCAGTATAAGATGGGGCATTGATGCGAGGTGGGGCATTGGTATGAGGTGGCGCATTGGTGTGAGGTAGGGTGTCAGGGTGAGGTGGAACGTTGATAAGGTAGAGTGTCAATGTTAGGTGGAGTGTGGTGTGAGGTGGAGCTTGGGTGTGAAGTGGAGCATTGATGTGAGGTGGAGCTTGGGTGTGTAGTAGAGCATTGATGTGAGGTGGAATGTCAGAATCAGGTGGGGCATTGGTGTGAGGTGGAGCCTCGGTATGAAGTGTGAAGTGGGGTATCAGAGTGAGGTGGGGCGTTGAGTGAGGTAGGGCATTGGTGTGAGGTGGGGCATCGGAGTGAGGGGGAGCATCTGTGTGAGTGTGGTGTCCATGTGAGGTACAGCGTTGGTGTGAGGGGTACCAGAAAACAGCAGGGACCAGGCTCCTTCCATTTCTGGCTGCTGATTCACACCTCATTTTCCCGCTAGGAAAAGCTCATTTTAACCAAAAGTCCTTCCTTAATGTGAAAAGTTTCTGTTTTCAAGCATTATAGCAGGATGCTCTGGTTTTGCTTTAAGGATACTACCATTTGTTCCTGCCTTCCTGTTGTAGAAGCAGAAACGTGTGAATGCCATGCTCCATGCACAGTCTGGCCCTGGAACTTGGCAAAGGGCCCAGGAAGAGGTGGGTTTGCTTTTGGGACCATTTCTGATCACGCTGCCTGTGGGGTGTTTCAGGATACCAGATGGCCATTTCACCCGCTACGGAGAACTTTTGTGTCAACTGGATGGGCCATGAGGTGACAGGGGCCACCCTGGGGGTCATTGGCATGGGTGCTATTGGCTACAAGATCGCCCAGAGGGCCAGAGCATTTGAAATGAAGATTCTGTATCACAACAGAAGCCGCAGGTAAATTCAGTGGACTTCTGGAACAAACTGATTAGAGCTTTCTCCAGCACTGCCTTCGGCATGGCTGGGTGTATTGTCCTTCCATTTCGGGAGACTCTCCACTCTTTCCTTCCTAGAAGTAGACTTAATGGCCTAGAGGGGGACCTTGGTACTGCCGAGAAATGCAACTGATTTCTTTTCACTGAAAGAGTTTCATTCACCAGGACTCTAGCCTCCTAGACCCCTGGGGTGGGGGGGTCTGGCCTAATGGGAAGACAGACTGGCCCCTCTGAAAGATGCCTCCTGGAAGGCCTCTCACCCTGGGGCACTTAATGGATCTCTGACCAGAGAATGTGATTTTGCTTCCTTGTTGCCACTGCAGGAAACTGGAGGAGGAGGAAGCTGTAGGCGCCACTTACTGTGAGAAGTTGGATGACCTGCTGCGACAGTCAGACTTTGTGATGCTGGCAGTGAATCTGACACCTCAGACGCAAATGATGATCGGGAGGAGGGAGCTGGGACTGATGAAGCCCACAGCCATCCTCATCAACATCGGCAGAGGTACCAGCTCCACCTCTATCTGAAAGCCACATGATGAGAAAATGATACAGGAGGAAATCCCTCACTTGTCCTCTTGTCATTTCCAGTTGACCCTTTTTCTGAATGGCTGCCATGGTCTGGAAAATCCACTTAGATTGGTGGTAGGCGAATTAGGATAATTTTACTTTATTTTATTTTGTTTTTTGAGTTGGAGTCTCACTCTGTCACACTGGAGTGTAGTGGCACGATCTTGGCCACTGTAGCCTCAACCTCCTGGGCTCAGGCGATCCTTCTGCCTCAGCCTTCCAAGTAACTGGAACTACAGGCATGCCGTACCATGCCCAGCTAAATTTTTTATTTATTGTAGAGATAAAGTCTCACCAAGTTGCCCAGTGACACTAGTGCTACTGGTAACCCCTAGTACACTATTTAGGTTTAGTTCTCTAGTCTATAAAATGAGAAGGCTGGGTGTGGTGGTTCAACCTGTAATCCCAGCACTTTGGGAGGCTGAGGCAAGAGGATTGCCTGAGCTCAGGGGTTCGAGACCAGCCTGGGAAATTTGGTGAGACTTCATCTTTACAATAAATCACAAAAGCTAGTTGGGCATGGTGGCATGCATCTGTAGTTCCAGGTACTTGAAAGGCTGAAGCAGAATGATCACCTAAGCCTAGCAGGGCGAGGCTGTGGTGGCCATGAGTGTGCCACTGCACTCCAGCCTGGGCGACAAGAGGAGACTCCAACTCAAAAACCAAAACCAAAAAACAAACAAAAAAATGAGGAAGATGGTGCTTGCCACAAAACCTCCCAGGGCTAATGTATTTGAAAGTTCTCTGAAAATTCAGCTCTCCAAGGTGAGTGAAGGACCACATGTTCTCAATGATGTCTGATGCTGGGTGAACATGGCTCCTGGAAAACTAGCACCCCAGGGAAGGCCTCAGAGAAGACTTCCTCCAACAACCACATGAGCAAGCGAGGGGTGTGGTGTATCGCGACCTTGGACAGCGATTCAAGAGTAAGAGTCTCAGACTCCTGGGCTCAGGTAATCTTGCCTCCTCCTCCCAAAGTGCTGGGATTACAGGCATGAGTCACTGCGCCTGGAAGGTAATTTTACTCTCTATTCAGAAATATTCCTTATTTTTTTGTTTATATCATTTTAGCCTCAAATTAGTAGCAAAAAGGATGAGAGTGCCACAACATGGGGGTTTTCAAATCCAAATTTGGGTATTATTTGGGGAGGCAGTGTTTTGATCCTCTGAGTGTCAATGAAACAGAATTTAGGGGCATGAATTTTCTGAGCTGTCACTTTCAAAGATGTTTTAGTATTACTTTGGTTACTTGACATTGACATGCAGGAGGTAGAAGGGTTGCTCTACAGTTTGGTTGTGGTATTTGGGCAGTAGAGAGGAGTCCAGTGAGGCATATGAGGGAATCAGGGTGCTGTTGGCAGACACCAGAGGATGTAGGAGTGACACCAGCAACCCTGGGTATACAACTTAGGTTCAGCTCTCTAGTCTATAAAATGAGGAAGACGGCACTTGCCACAAAACATCACAGGGCTAATGTATTTGAAAGGTCTCTGAAAATTTAGCCCTCCGAGGTGAGTATGAAGGACCATATGCTCTTCACACCAAGGCTGGGTGAACATGACTCCTGGCAAACAAACACCCCAGGGAAGGCCTCAGAAGGGGCTTCCTCCAATAGCCACATGGGTGAGCAAGGGATGTGTTGTACTGTGACTTTGGATGAAGGTTCACTGGTGAGGGTGGAGGAAGCACCTCAGTCAGGGGCTCCTCGCAGGGCTTAGTCTAAAGGGAACTGGTTTCTCTTCTCAGCTGCTACTACTCACCACACCACACCATTTTGCATTTGAAATCATAGCTATGGATCATGTTTGTGTTTGTTTAGTTTTTAAAGGCAGGTATCAACTAGTTGGGAGGTCTGTTTCCTCAGCTGGAACCCTGTGGTGGTTTTGGGAAGTAGTGTGGTAGAATGAGAGGGGCCCCCAGTCAGACAGACTTGGACTCAAATTTGGCATGGGTGTGATGTGATCTTGGGCAAGTTTGTAACCTTGGATCCTCAGTTTCTCCATCTGTAAAATGAATAGTGGTTTTGCTGGGTCATTTGAAGATTCAGTCAGATAATGTACATAAGGGGCTTAGCTCCTAGCCTGGTGCATGGTGGGATCAGACCTGAGTTTTATTACATTTCATAATAAATCAAGCAGTATGAAGTTTATGTGTTGTCAGACTTTTGATTTAACTCTAAATATGCTATTAGAAAAAATTAAGATTTGTTTGAAGGTTGAGTGTGGTGGCTCACACCTGTAATCCTAGCACTTTGGATGACTGAGGTAGGAGGATTGCTTGAGCCCAGGAGTTCGAGATCAGCCTGGGCAATACAGTGAGATTTTGCCTCTACAAAAAATTTAAAAAATTAGTCAGGTATGGTGGCGTGTGCCTATAGTCCCAGTACTTAAGAGGCTGAGGTGGGAGGACTGCCTGAGCCAGGAGTTGGAGGCTGTGGTGAACTATGATCATGCCACTGTACTCCACCCTGGGTGACAGAGTGAGACTCTAACTCAATTAAAAAGAAAAAAAAAAAGATGTGCTTGAAGTAGCTGCTGATATGACCACAGCTTCTCTCCTGAATGCTGTCAAACTGGCAATTACAGAGGAGCTATCTCACTGACACAGGTCTGCTGGTGGATCAGGATGCGCTGGTGGAAGCTCTTCAGACTGGGATTATTAATGCAGCGGCACTGGATGTGACACACCCGGAGCCCCTGCCCAGGTAACAGGGCTACACAATTCACGTGTTTTCTTTTTTTGAGATGAGGTCTTACTCTGTCATCTAGCCTGGAATTCAGTGTGGCAATGATCCTCCTGCCTCAGCCTCCCAAGTAGCTGGGACGACATGCGTGCCACTGTACCTGGCTAATTAAAAAAACTTTTTTTTTTTTTAGAGTTGGGGGGGTCTCAGTATGATGCCCAGGCTGGTCTCGAACTCCTAGGCTCAAGCAATCCTCTCTCCTTGGCTTCCTAAAGGGTTGGGATTACAGGCATCAGCCACTGTGCCCAGCCCCAATATGTCTTTCTTGATAAGAGGGTTGCAGAGTCCACAGACAATTGCTTCTGTTGGCTTCTGCAGCCATGCTGAGTCATGGAAATGCAGGGTCTTGGCCTTGTCCCATTGGGTCAGCTGCTCATGTACAGATTGTGGAGCTTGGGTGCTGTGGGTCATGGCTCCATGGATAAAAACTGTGTCAATAGCCCACTCTCTCTTTTTTTTTTTGAGTTGGAGTCTCACTCTGTCGCCCAGATTGGAGTGCAGCGGCCGCTCCCGGCCACCGCAACCTCGACCTGCTGGGCTCCGGCGATCCTTCCGCCTCAGCCTTCCAAGTAGCTGGAACTACAGGCATGCGCTACCACACCCGGCCAATTTTTTGATTTATTGTAGAGATGAGGTCTCACTAAGTTGCCTAGGTGGGTCACGAACCCACGGGTTCAGGCAATCCACTCACCTCAGCCTCCCAAAGTACTGGGATTACAGGCTGAGACACCAAGCCCGGCAATAGCCCTCTCTTAGTCCGCCAAACAGTCTCCCCTTCACCTGCTGACCCCTGCTCACCCTCAGTAGCAACAAAGAATAAGTTTGGGCATTCTCTTTTATAAACCTTGTGGAGTTGCTGTGTTTCTTCCTAGTTATTTTTTGAGGCTAAATGACCTCTACCCTTCAATTATAGCCTATGTGATGGGATTTTCAGACATGTTACTACATTGTCATCTTCTCCCAGCACTGATAGTTTTTAGAGTCCTGTGAAAATGTGCTCCTGAGAGCCGAGCACAGCATTCATGCTGCGTCCCGGTCTCTGTAGAGGAATCACATACTCACATTAGCCTGTACACACGTGTTTCCTGGAAGCCTCATTACACCTGTCCCTCAATTGTTTTTTTACATATATTTGTGAAATTGTATATTTAGACTGATTCTGTGTGATTCAGGTGAATAAAACAGACATTCCCTATAAGTTACATCATTAGCGTAAACTACCTGGCATTGCTGAAGGCCCCAAGCATAAAAAGACACTCTTATAAGGTAGGAAATCTCAAGGGCTCAGAAGTTCTCTCTCAGGAGCTGGTCTAGAGCCAGTCAGTTGCATGCTCAAGGCCTCCACAGTCTCGACCTGCTGGGCTCAGGCAATCCTTCCTACCTCAACCTTTCAAGTACCTGGAACCACAGGCATTCGCCACCACATCTGGCTAATTTTTATTGATGTATTATAGAGATGAGGTCTTGCCAAGTTGCCCAGGCTGGTCTGGAATCCCTGGGCTCAGGCAATCCCCTCACCTCTGCCTCCTAAAGTGCTGGATTATAGGTATGATCTTCTGCACCCAGCCGCCAGTCCTGTCTTTGGAATGTGCAAGTTGGAGTACCCCAAGTATGCCTGCTGAGTTAACATTTTACTAGCCAGGCCATTGGCCTAGGATGCCCTACAGCAAAATGATCATATTTATTTGAGCAACTATGTTTAGTATAGTATTTATATGACAGATATCGTACTAGCATCAGTATAAGTATACCTAATATTTGGAGGAGCCAGTGTGAGGAGGAATAGGTTTAAAGAAACAACTAACTTATCCTATAAAGCCTAAAAATACATATATTCTTGTATTTTTTTAACTAGTTTGATTACATACTTGTTTTTACCCTTTATCTACTGGTATTTCTACCTTGTGATGACCCTGTCCAGAACAACTTAGCATAGAATTAGCTGATATTTAGCTAAAACCAGTTTTTCCTCAGACCAGGCTTTTTCTAATGGTATTATACTCTGAAGAGGCTCTAGCTTGTCTCCCAATACAGTTAATTATCAACATCATATATTATTATTATCATATAACTTATTTACATAGGAAGTTGAATCTTAGCAATGGTGCTAATGCTACACCATATCACAACATGGTCATGGAACAATTCAGTTTCATTTTAGAACCGATCATTAAGAATTACAGTGAGGCCGGACTCGGTGGCTCTGCCTGTAATCCCAGCACTTTGGGAGGCCAAGGTGAGTGGATTGCCTGAGCCCACGGGTTCGAAACCCACCTGGCAACTTGACGAAACCTCATCTCTACAACAAATCAAAAATTAGCCGGGCGTGGTAGTGCACATCTGTAGTTCCAGCTACTTGGAAGGCTGAGGCGGAAGGATCGCCAGAGTCTAGCAGGTCGAGGCTGCGGTGGCCGGGAGCAGCCATTGCACTCTAGTCTGGATGACAGAGTGAGACTCCAACTCAAAAAAAAAAAAAAAAAAGAATTACAGTGATATCTCCTATGTCTTCTGAACAGACTCAGCCTTTGCCTTTATACCAGATACTATTATGGACCCTGATTGGTTATTCCTGGGTTCCAGGTTGGCCACTGCCTTCGTTCCACTGTGTGCTGTTCCACAGCAGGCCCACTTTCTTCCTGTGGGGATGACATGATGTTATGCTGAATAGTTCCTGTTCCCGCTAACTGTCCCAGAGGATACGCCTTATGTCCATGGGTCCCAGGGTGAGGGCAGTCATAGGGCATTGAGGTTAATTACAATTAACCCCAGATAACTCCGTAGGCTTGAGAGTCCATGAGACTACCTTGGGGCTCCTTGATCCTCGCAGCCAGGATGGAGGGCCACTGCCCATGGCCACTTCAGCCTCTGTCTGCATTAAAATAGTCAAGAAGTCCTGGGATGAGGTTACAGCCCTTTTCCAATGCTGGGTTCCAGTGTTGAATATCCATCATGATGTTTGAGTATGCCTGGCCCTACCTCACCATGCCACCTTTACAAGTTGACTATCCTTGCCTTTCTCTGGAAGGTAACTCCCTCTAATCTGCTAGTTCTAGTTAACAAGTTTTTCCCCTCTAAAAGTCACTCCTCATTAAAAGTAAAATCAGCTTGCCCCATGATGCCTGGACCAGTACCCGTCTCCCCTGAAACCCTTTTCTGTCTGGGGGGCTGGTATGTTGAATCCATCTCGCATGTTGTGCCATTGTATAGTCAGCACCTGAGTGTAGTTGAAATACTTTTTTGAATCCCCAGTACTGGTCTCCCATCCCAGGGTTAACTGAGTGGTAGCTATGTCTCAGTGTGATTTTGGCACCCCCTGGCCTTCCCTATCCCAGGGTAGGGATGTTCCCTGGGAGGGTTAAATCAGAATATGAAGTTAACGAGACCAAACAACTCTAACAATTTTCTTCAATTAACCTGTATTTCAGAGATCATCCTTTGTTGAAGTTGAAGAATGTCATTCTGACCCCACACATTGGAAGTGCAACTCATCAGGCCAGACGACAAATGATGCAAAATCTAGTTGAAAGCATTCTGGCTTCTCTCAGTGGTCTCCCTGTTCCTAATGAAGTGCTGCTTAAATGATTTATGTGGCTGAGAGAATTCACTGGGATGGAAATGTGGCAGATTAAATGGGGGAAGAAAACCGTATTTTGTATATTATAAATATTAGACACACCACATAGACTGGTTTGATAGCATTTTGGCTGGAAAAACTTTAAGAATGAAAATAGTTAGCATCTATCACAGGCATGCTACGTTTTTGCTTCCTAATCTCACTTCGTGCTCCACAGCTCTGTGCTCTAAGGTAACTGTTGTGGAGGACTGGAAAAAGAAGCAAGAAGGACAGCTCTGCGAGGGGATGCCTGTTATGTTCATGATGAAACTGGGCATGCCAGAGAAGGATCGCTCATCTCAAGTCTCAGCTGGCAAATAGCTGGGTTTTGATTAAAACCTTAGGCTTGGTTTTCATTTCAATTTGGATTAGATCTATGAATTTCCTAGTGACCTACTGTGTGGAAGAAGCAAACTCAGTTTCTCACAACACTTACAACACCAGATGTGTGGGATTCTCACAGTAAGCACTGTGCAGCGAACCTGGCTCGTGTCCTAATGCAATTCAGTCCCCACACTGGAGACAGCGTCAGGCCCCACGGGACTGCACCCACCTGACACCAGTCGCAGGGCCAGGCCTCTGGGACCTCTGACCCACAGCTATAGGTCGGAGGTCTCACGACCGATTGACTTACTAGAGGGGCTCACAGGGATACGTTCTTTTTGCACACGCTCGCAGCGACCAGTCAGGGCGCTGACCAGCGCAGCGCGCCCACTGCGCAGTCAGCTAAGCCGCCCCAG